GATGTGGGGCTCGATCCCAGGACCCTGGGATCATGACCTGAGCTGAAGGCAGATGCTTAACGACTGAGCCACCCAGGTGCCCCGCAGTGTCTTACTCTTTACCTAGACAGTTACTATTACCCTTATTATTTGTACATATTTCTTGATTCTGGCTTTGATTACTAGGTCTTGACGCATAGACTTGTTCCAACTTTCACTATCTGGAAACTCACAAATGCACATCTTGTTCAAGATCTCTGGTTCCATGATGGCTACCGCTTCCAGCCACCCCAAGACTGGTTCCCACTCTGCTCACCATCCTGTGTTCTCTGCCTTACCTAGCTGGAAGTGGAATTCAAGGCCAAGGAAAGAGGATGAAAAAAGAAACTGAAGTGTGAAAGCACATAGATAATCTGGGAAATAGAGAGGTCTAGAACATCTGAAGCACAGGGAGACTTGTGTGATATGATGGTGATACATGATGGAAAACACAAGCTATGGTCAAAATGAAAAGGGTAGTAAGTGTTTGAGTCATTTGATAACACTGTTAGTCAAGACTCACACTGTTCCCTCTACCTAAGGAACCTCCTTTTCTGCTCCACTAACTCTTACATGTTCATCTAAGGGGTCATGAACTACAGAAAGCCTTATGAGACCTTCCTGCCTGTCCCCTTCCACTTTTATGTGCAATAAGAAAACGTCTACAGGTTTTGGAATTTGGGGGGCAGGTATGAAACAGAGTTTGTAATAAATTGCCAGTGGAGATTTTAGAACAATTGCAGCAATAATATATAAAATAGATTGGATCAGAAAAGAATAGCACAGGGATGCTTGACCTTTTCTGAGTCATTGGCCCCTTTGAGAAATGACAGCTATACACTGCTCAGTAGAAGAATGCATATATACATACAGAAACATTAAATCTTGCGAATACTTTTAATGGATTTGCAGATCCCCTGAATCCCATCAATTTTTTTTTTTTTTTAGGAATACTTCTTTTATTGTTAGGCTCCCCAGACAACGGACAATGAAATCAGTTGAGGTTGCATACTTCCAATAAAGAGGTTATGGACTAGGATAGTGGCAGTGAACTGAGGTGGTGGCAGCAAGTAAAGGTTCAGAAGTAAAGAAAATTATAAAATTATATCTATCCTCCCATGTGGAGACTGGTTCAAATCTTAAAAGTGTAAACAAAACACTAATGAGGTCTTTGTTTCATGTTATACAGTGTGCTGAGGCATGATCCTAAATCTCACAGCTTACTAGGGTAGGTATTACTCTCTTCTGCAGCAATGTCATAAAGCCCAGAAGCATATTTACCGAGATTTAAAACCAGACCTGAATACAAAACTTGTGCTCTATGTCACACACCTTTCCAGCTGATCGGTATCCCCCAAAAGGAAACCAAAGCTGACTGATTATCTCCTGTGTGCCACATAATGAAGTAGGGGTCTTTACATACCATTACTTTTACCTCAAAAGTAAACAAAGAATTTACTTATTAAGAAACATATGACACTCAGTTAAAAACACATTATACTTACCCTAATGACATACTGATAAATTATCACAAGGCTGACAGCCATGGAAATGTTGGCAAGGAATGAAAGCACAAATAGATTCTTTAGCTCACGAATGAAGACCAAAAGAATTATGAATGGAAGAAAGCAAAGCATATATATCCTTAGGTCAATACTTCTTCTCTCACAAGGGTTTGATGAATTGGTACTATTCAAAAGAAACACTTTACTCTCCAGGAATCCTTCATGAACCTATATAGGATTACCAGGAGAATAAGAAAGAGGGGAAAAAAAAAAAACTTCCATCAACTTATAAATAAAAAAATATAAAGAAATTTATTATCTATACACTCTATGATAAGTTCCTTTACAATAAATCAAATATTTACATTTTTTCAAGATATTATAGCTTCCTGGAAATATATATTTATCAAATTTAAGGATAATTAAAATAGGATAATCTTTTTTTTTGTATTTGAAAATTTTAAAAATTTTTTATTGTTATGTTAATCACCATACATTACATCATAAAATAGGATAATCTTCTTTGCAATATAACTTCTTTTATCATACTGTAAAAAGAAAGTTCACTAGAAAATTATGAGGCTGGGTGCCTGGGTGGCTCAGTTGGTTAAGCGACTGCCTTCAGCTCAGGTCATGATCCTGGAGTCCCAGAATCGAGTCCTGCATCAGGCTCCCTGCTTGGCGGGGAGTCTGCTTCTCCCTCTGACCCTCCCCCCTCTCATGCTCTCTCTCTCATTCTCTCTCTCAAATAAATAAATAAAATCTTAAAAAAGAAAAATTATGAGGATGAATTTACTAATTTATTTTGAAGTTTTGTGCTCATGATCCCTGCAAAGGTTCAATTTGTTTTTGAGATAATCAAAAGTGGATGCACACTTGTCGAGAATGACCATATTCTACTCTGGATATCCTACTCCGACTTATTTTCTTCAGAGGAGGAAACAAGCTCTTAAGTACATCTTAGAAATGTACAGTTGTCAAAATAAAGCTTAGAAATCATAGTCTAGCTTTAAAACTGTTTTATAAAACAACTGTTTTTAAATTATCATCACTATCAATAAATACTTATTAAGAATCCACTAAATTCATTCATGACCATGTGTTAGATGTAGATAAATTTTTGCTAGAGCAAAAAACTTCAATAAATCAGTTTTACCTTAAAATTTATTCAGCCACTTCTATAAACCAACATTCAGTGTTCGAGATACAATAATTTATAGGTTCCATATATTAAAAATCGTCTCTTATTCAATTAATCACATAATCCAACTTACTAAAATAGAAATGAAATTATAGAGGATTTTAAAAACATTTTTAAAAATTCAAAGCAGAGGCAGAGAATATTATAACTTAAATACTAGTGAAAATCTATTTGCCCCCAAACACTGTACCCCCCCATTGAACACAATAACATGATCAAGTCTCTGAATACATCAATTCTTAAGAACCAGACCCTATAGTAATAATAGGAAGCATTTTTTGAGGACTGAACTAAATACGTGATACACAACATCTCATCTCATCCTCAAAACAACTCCCTGAGGTTGGTGGTAGTATTAATTTTAATTTGTGGTTGAGAAAACTGAGGATTAGGGAGGGTTAAAAAAACTTACATAATATCAAATCAGTAAGTGGTAGTTCTAAGATTCCAGCCCAGGAGTGAGACTAGAATTTAGCTTGCGACAGCTGGATGCTCTAACTTGACCAAATACTTCAATCCGGGAGGGGGCCCTGCCAAGTATCAGCCTGGCCTTTACTCTGACATCTCTCTTTCTAAATATACTAAGTATTAAGAGGCCCACAAGCAGAAGTTTAGAACAAAATTATAGTATGATTAACAATTCAAGTTGTTTCTTTTAATTTTATACTTACAATTTATGATAAGCAATGTTTAGTGTCACTACAAATGTACACATCATCTTAAACTGTAGGGAATATATCTACTAGTTTTAAGCTAGATAGGCAACTTGTAACTCATACTGGACTAACAAACTCTCAGGTTACACCATGAACCATTTAAGAAATGCATACCTCATGTTTACCTCGTAACTGCTCATCAAAACTTTATATTTCATATTCTATAACTTGAAATAGAAGGAAGATTGGTAATTCACATTACTTGGTTTTTAAAAGTATATCTTTTTTGTTGACTCAATTTTCCCAGTTACAAAATTATTTATAGCCAAATGCTTCTGTATCCAAGAAGTACCGCCAATAAGCAGATTAGGTAATGATCAAAATTAAGCTCTAACAAGGATACCTGGCAAGAGAAAATCAGTTACATAACCAATTTTAAAAAGGGTAGTTTGAATGGTGAGATGGTTGGGAATATGAAATTAATTCTGTCACAAATATCTCATAATAATTTAGTATTCTTTGGCAGAAATATGGTTATAAAAATTGTCAGGATTAAAAAATAAAATAAAGTGCAGATACATACCCAGAGCAAGATTCAGGTAAACATTTGAGTCCTTTGGTGCCCTCTAGAGACAGATATTGGCTATCTAATAGGACTTCCTATGATCTCACATGTTTACCAAAATGCAAAACACTGAAATAAATATTATAAAATAAAATTACTAAATTCAGTTGTTTCCATTTAAAGCTTAAATTTACTAACATCTACTACTTATTAGTCTTCAATGATTCAGTAATCTAATGGTTAAAATTCCAAAGGTAGAGTATGTTCTTCAGCAAAGCTAAAATAAATGCAGAATTAAAGCCTTAACACCCTATATTTGTATACTACTTTACTTTTTGCAAAGGGTTTCACAAACCTCTTGTCAGCTGAGCCTCAGGATAAGTTTAGGAGGAACAATGGGAGATTTTGTTGCTATTCCCATTTTACAAATAAGGAAACTTAGGTTTGACCAGGGATCAGGAGATCTTGTCCAATGTGTGACTTAAAATGGAGAGAGTGGGGACTTGAATTTGGATCCTCTATCTCTAAAGTCCATAGTCTTAGGTACCATTATATATTTTTTTCTGTTAATGTAATATTCCTTCCCCACTCTTCATGCCCATATATACTGTTTCATCCACCTGAAATTTTCTAGAGTATCTTAGAGTAAGAACAGAGAGGAACTACTATAACCACGATGGGCTAGAATCCTTGGAGGCACTACCCACCCCTTTCCCCCTGCCTAATGCTCACAATGACCTAATGGGACCAAGAACAGCCCTGTGGCAGTTACAGAGCAGGAGGTTCACACATCTGTATGGTAACTAAACCCTGACTTCTTTGATTTGATAAAATATTGCACCTTTGATTTTATGTAGATTAATGCAGTAATAAACTTAGAGTTTTTAACTCTAACAGTAGCAGTAATTGGTAAGGCATAATCAAGCAGTGCGTCTACTGCTGGAGTCTGCTCTAAAATGTGGCAGTGAACATCTCTGACACTGCTGTTTCAGTGACCATCTGTCTGCTCTGCCAAGGCGAGGTGCTCACTATTGCTTTCAACTTTTCTCAAGTCTGAGTATCTTTTTCCATGTTGCTTTTTATACCTCAAAAGGACTTTTGTCCTTCTATCTACAGCAGGCATTCTCCTTACTTCCCAGAAAGCCACCTTTTCTACCTGGTTTTCTTAGAATATGTGCAAATGAGTTACATTCTTCCAATCTACTTTGGAAGAAACTGATAACATTTTGCAGGAAAAAGTCACCAACCCTAAGCTTATAGACATCTATTACATCACATGCGCACACACAGCTAAAATCAGACAAGCTCCTGTCCAACAATGAACAGTTAATATACTGGGTGGCAGCTGGGTCACAGACTTAGGTCTCAGCTTAATTCACATGACTTAGGGCACACTGCTCATGCTTTGGGAGAGTCAATTTACACATTCAAAAAATGAGCGTCGTACATTACGAAGAAGTAAAGACTAAATGAAAAATGTCATACTTTATTAATGTAACGTTGTAAGGCATTATTAGCATTATCCATAAATTCAAATCAAGCTTTTTGGTAGCTCTCTTAGGAGATATTAGAAAAGATACATTACTACCAAGCTGTACAATCCTAAAAAAGGATCATTTCCACTGTCTTCTACATAAATGACTGGTAAAGTGGTGTGTCTTATCAGTTCTTAACAACAGATAGCCTCTTGACTGAGTTAATAGTCTAAAGAATATGCAACTTGTGGAATTAAATACTTGTAAATCAAAAGCACATCATCTATAACAAGCAATGCTAATGAAAGCATCAACTCTCTTATTTATAAAGAAGGGTTGACTCAATGAGCCTTTCCAACATTAAAAATCTAAGCTAGGGGCTTTAGCAAATTATGGCCCATACACCAAATCCAGCCTACCACTTAATTTTGCAAATACAACTTTATTGGGATATTACCATATATGTTTATATATTATTGTCTATGGCTAAGTTGAGAAGACCATATGGCCTGCAAAACTGAAAATATTTATTATCTGGCCCTTTCCAGAAAAAGTTTGCCATTCCTGGTCTAAATGTAAATGAAGCATACTTTATACTTGAAAAAGTGAGCCAAATATATACTTATATATTTACATTTAGATTCTTTAGAAAACATATTCACATCATTTTGCATTAAAATACCTACAAGTACTATATATTACTATGTAAAATGTCTACTACTGCACCATGCACATGTGCATAGTTAATAAATGTTATTGATTAAAGTAATGATTAAAGAAGAACAGGGTGTAATGTACTAGTTACAAGCTAGAGCGCATAAAGAAATGTGTTTTGGCATTGTTTTGATAGGGGAGCTTTTTTATTTCAGTGCTTTGCATGTTTGTTCAAATTGACAGTCTCTACCAAGACTGCAAACCACTTCCTTTTAAAGCAAACCCTAAAAGGATGGAGAGAATTACAGAATGCTGCACATTTTTGGACACAGTATCTTTTAGGCAATAGCAATAGTTACTGGATTTTAGTAATACCCACTTTTTACTTCACTTTTTAGGTTGCTGGCTAAAGGCTTCTATATTTATTTATGAAAAATCAATTTAAAAATATACTCCCCAAACATCTGTGTTTCTGCTTTGAGACCTAAATTTCAAGTATCTAGGAGTCAGTTAAATTATGTCCAGTTCAGATCTGACAGAACAAACATTACTGATATATAATGGCAAAAAAAGTAAAATCAACAACAGTAGCAGAAAATTCAACTTACAAAAAAGAAGACTAAAGGAAAATTTACAAAGTAACATGCTTTATGAAAGGAACACATTTCCATGTTCAACCATGGCTTACTCAGAGGAGATATGATGCCATAACTATGGACGTGGAAGAAACTGACCTCGATAACTGGAGAAAAATACTTACTTGTTTTACATTTTCAGCTAAGAAGACAATGTAAACACTACAGAATCCCAGCTGTGTTATCACCAGAAAAAAGTCAACCACAGTCCTGAAAAGAGATACCCACAAATAAGTATCAATAAGAGCTGCTGATATATCAATATATTTTTCTCTTTTTAGACTATTTTAAAACATTTAATTATAGCTTATATTCTTTTCACTTCCTTAAAATAAGAAATAAACAAAATATGTATTTTCTACAAACAGCACACATTTGTGATCAGTGTGTCACTAGAATTATCATTGAGCAAAAAGATGTTCCATTAAGGTAAAAGGCCCAAATTTCCCTATCACTTATTTCTGAAATTCAACAGTCTGAGTATCTGCTTATAAAATGATATCATGAAAACATTTCATCTTTTAGATTAGGTCCATCTCTCCTACTTCTCAAGATCTTTTTCTGATTAACCCAGTGTATCTTCCGGCCCTCCTGGCTTCATGTCATTTGGAAATATGAGGAATGAGATGTTCTCCACTATCCAAATCACTAATACGAACATGAGATGGGAGAGGACTGGGGGCATGGCCCTAAATCATAAGACCAAAGACCCCTCCAGTAGCTTAGCTCTGTTCTTATTGTTTAATGAGATACTTAAGAAAATTCTAGCTACATAAAATAGTGTACAGAGGTGGGAAGGGGATGTCACCAGTCATATTAGCATAGTTTGGGAATCAAGTTATAGATCTATCTACATTATTAATATGCAGCCCATATTTCTCTATTTTGTTTGGAGAACAATGAGTGATTACAACAGCATGCACCTACTAATTAATTATAGTCTTTATTTGACCATCGATGTCAAGCTATCAAACAACCTGGTCTACAAATCTACACATCTTCCTTCTCTCATTTGAAATTGGAAGGGCCCTTGCCTATCTTCATTCTTGTCATAACTATAGCTCTCATAGTTCTTCAGGGATCTCCCTTGTAAATAATCTTGGTACCCTGCAATGAATTCAAGTTTCTTCTCTCTGATGAATTATATTTAAGTATTCGCTTAAGATCTTTTCATCCACTTTGGATTTTAGTATCCTACCAACAATCACTCCAGCCACATCTACCTGCAAGTCACTCTAGAGACAAAGCTGCCTCTACTCTGGGGGAGAAGAAGGAAGAAGATAGAGTTCTGGGGCAAATCCTAGGGCATGAGGCTGATTTCTTCCTTCTTCTACTTGGCATATCAAGAGCTCTGAGCAGCTCATAAACAAATCTAACTTCCTACAAATCCCCAGGAAGGCCGTATTTAACCATAAACTCTACTAGCACTGTTTTTTTTTTCTTCCTTTAATTTCCATTTCACGTATCACTTGTACCATAGGGAGCATTTTGTTGACTAGGTACCTATGCTTATTTTTCCAGTCCTGTATTCGTCTGGCTTTGATCTGCCATGTCTACCAATGATAAAGTTACATTTAAACAATAAGATAGTATAATTACTATTGTGCTAAAATACACACTTCATATATCCTATGAGCATGTAGCTAAACACCACAATTTTATCTAAAATAATGAGATTGCTCTACACAACAAAGGAAACAATCAAAACTAAAGGCAACCTACAGAATAGGAGAAGCTATTTGCAAATGACATATCTCATAAGGGGTTAGTATCCCAAATATATAAAAAACGTAAAAAGCTCAACACCCAAAAAATGAATAATCCAACTAAAAAATGGTCAGAAAACAAGAACAGACATTTTTCCAAAGAAGACACAGAGATGGCCAACTAACACATAAAAAGATGCTCAACATACTTGATCATCAGCGAAATGCAAATCAAAACTACAATGAGAAATCACCTCACACATGTCAGAATGACTAAAATTAACAACACAAGAAACAACAGGTGTTGGCAAGGATGTGGAGAAAAGTGAACCCTCTTGCACTGTTGGTGGAAATGCAAACTGGTACAGCCAATGTGGAAAACAGTATGGAGGGTCCTTAAAAAGTTAAAAATAGAACTACCCTATAATCCAGCAATCACACTCCTAGGTATTTACCCAAAGCATACAAAATTACTAATTCAAAGGGATACATGCACCCCGATGTTTATAGCAGCCAAATTATGGAAACAGCCCAAGTGTCCATCAATTGATAAATGGACAGAGATGTGGTATATATATACAATGGAATATACTCAGCCATAAAAAGGAATGAAATCTTGCCATTGAAAATGTGGATGGAGCTATGGAATATTATGCTAAGTGAAATAAGTCAGTCAGAGAAAGACAAATATCATATGATTTTACTTATATGCGGAATTTAAGAAACAAAACAAATGAGCAAAGGGGGGTGACAAGAGAGAGAGGCAAACCAAGAAACAGACCCTTAACTATAGAGAACAAACTGATGGCTACCAGAGGGAAGGCTGGTGGAGGGATGCATTAAATAGGTGATGGGGATTAAGGAGTGCACTTGTCATGATGTGCACCTAGTGAAGTACAGAAGTGTTGAATCACACATTCTACACCTGAAACTAACATTACACTCTATGTTAACTAACTGGAATCTAAGTAAAAAATTTAAGAAAAAAGTTAGAAAAACCAAGCAAGTATTTCATCTTGATCCATGAGTTACTGGTGATTAAACAGTATATACATTTCTGGCTGGTTTCAGGGAAAATTTACCAGATTTGTGAATTATAAAGACAGTTGAACATGTTTTCTACTTTGGAGGCAGATGGAGTTGCATCAAAATGTAAAAGCAATTTAAAAACTTTTATTGTATGATATGATTAGAGATTTACTTTAAAAGTATTTCCATGTGCTGAAACTTGCTCCATGTAGTAAAGCTTTAATAAAGTTTGAATTATGCAAGCAAAAAAAAATAATAATAATAATAATGAGATTGCAACATTTTTCTTGCTTTTTCTCCTTTCCTTAAAAAAATATTAACATGATTATGTCATAGGTTAGCCAGATGCTTTATAAATATCATTTTATTTAAACTACTATAGTAATCCTGTGAAGTAAGTATCACCATAAACTCATCTGATGGTGAGAAAACTAAAACAAAATGATAAATCAATTGACTCAGGTCATAAAACTGAAAAATGGTAGAGCTGAGATTTGAACCCAAGTCTGTGTAACTCTAAAGATTATGTTTATTCCCCCAGGTTTATCATACTTCTATTCATGTATCTTGTCAAATTAAAATACTTAAAAAGTATGTGACTTCTGTAGCCAGATATTAATAACATAGCAAGTGCTTACCGTCCCCACGCTGCTTGCTTCTGAAGACAGCTCCAAGGACTTACTTCCATAGCAAAACTCACAGTGTCACTATAACCTAATGTTGACTTTTTAAACCTGTAATTTAAGAACATACATGCATGTGAAAAAGGAAAATTTGAAGTTGGTCCATAAATCCAACCCTTGAAAAGAACATCAAATAAATAGGAATTAAAATGCAAGGCTATGCACCAACAGAAGAGTTTTTGAAATTTCAAGATCTGCCTGCTCTATGTCTCATGAAATTTTAAATCTGTTATTTTTACCAATGTATTACTTTTTATCTGCTGTTAAAGTTTATATATTTGTAGAAGTCATATAATGTAATATTTGTGCTTCGCTGATTTAAATATGTAAATATTTCAATTACCGAAAAACATCAACTACATTGTTCATGCCTAAATTATTTATTCTTAGAAGGGCATTATTTTATACATCTGCACAGGCTTTACAACATATTTACACATAAACTGTCTTACCCAATACTCAGCCTCATGAGATAGGCATTATTTCCCCTTGTTCTCTTTCTCACTTTTTTTTCAAGTATCATTGTTATTTAAAGATCATAAATGACTTGCCCAAAGTTTTAAGAACATTTAACAACAATAACAAAAAGAGTTAAGATTAGACTATTAGTTTACTAGAATAGGCAATATTTATTTTTTAAATAGTCCATTGTGCAGTAGAAACATTTTATGAAAAAACAAAGAATAAAGAAGATTATTTTACTATTTACCAACCCACATATCAGCAAAGAACACCAAAGGCACCATACCCTAAAATGAATTCCTAACAAATTGAAGACCATCACTCTATAACTAAAAGTAGCGTTGTGGCTTCCATTTCCCCCCATGTCTTTCCTGATTTTTTTTTAATTTACATGGAAAGAAACCATCCCATTTCACTAACAGGGCTATATTTTTTTAAAAAGTAAATATATTCTGACCAGATTTCAATCACAGGAAATATTATCTTTTTCCATATTCATTATTTTAGACTTATCTACGTAACAGATTAGAGGAAATACGATTCTTAGTTGCAAAGCACAGTTAAGACTATCTGATACTTTAAATAAATACACAGCTTTAAAATAAATAGAATACACTTAACAAATCCTCATTTACCTCTGACACAGAAAGTGACTGCACCGTACCAAAATGTGCATACAGTGAACAGAAATAATTCCTATAAACACAAGGCTGATTGGTCCAAGCTGTGGGGGGAAAATGTATAGGATTAAATATTTAAGTTTAACAAAAATTACGTTGTCTTATAAGCAATGAGACAATGGACTACTCATTTGTGTGAATCAATTTTGTTGGACAAAATGATTAGTCATTTGCATATAGGAAAATTCATAAACTTGATACTGAAAGAACTTCAGCAATACTTAAGACAAGCGCATATATCCCACCAGCTTGCTAAGCCAAACCTATGAACACAGAGTATAGCTGTGCAAAAAGATAGGATAGAATACATCACATTTAACATGAGATGGCAAGTCTATGACTATCAGTGTCCCAAGGTGATAATTAGATGCAACTATGAATCATTATCTGAATGACTAAAAAGCACTATACTAATCTGGGATTGTGCTTATTGAGCACTTACTATGTGAGGAACTATGCCTAGAAAAAGATTATTTGAAAAAGCGGTACATAAAAAATTTCAAATATTTGTTTACTAAAATTAAAGGATTATTGAGACCTAGACAAATTACTGTCAAAATTTATTTTTATAATCAGAAATGTTTAAGTCTCTAAATTAGGGTGAGCAAGTCAAACGCAGACAAAGATGACAGTTAAAACTGTTCTTAGAAAACTGGTAAGGTTTTAAACCTCTAATAAAAGGTTAAATAGGGGTGCCTGGATGGCTCAGTCGGTTAAGCATCTGCCTTTGGCTCAGGTTCATGATCTCAGGGTCCTGGGATGGAGCCCCACGTCGGGGTCCCTGCTCAGCAGGGAGTCTGCTTCTCCCTCTCCCTCTGCCCCTCCCTTCACTCGTGCTCTCCTCTCAATTACTCTGTCTCAAATAAATAAAATCTTTTTAAAAAATTTAAAAAAAAATAAAAAAGGTTAAATATAATTTCATTACTTCATAAGTGAATTCTCCCTTACTGAGATTCTCTGTAATGACAATAACTGGTTCTAACAACTTTGCACATCTGTTTTCAAACAATATTCTTATTCCTTTTCTTAACTATTACTCTTTAAATCTGAAAACCACATATTTTATTCTGAATCTAAAAAACAATAAAATTTCACCAATACAAATAATCTACTCTATAAATATACTTGTTGATATGAGTACATTGCTTACATCCCTGAAAATCCAAAAGAATAATAACATATAACCATACTTGGAAAAATTGAATACTATTTTACGATCTTTCTGTCAAATATTACCAAGTATTTGGAAGTAAAGTAATTAAACAGAAAGTTAAACAGTTAAACAGAAAGTTAAGTAATTAAACAGAAATGAAAAGAGTAATTAATTCTCATTTTTGTTAAATTATCAGTGTTCACATAATCTTATCAGTACAATCTCATTGTCACCTGGTCAGGTTATATGTGACTAGGCCAGAGGTTAGCTTATAATTTTTGCTGTAATTAAGACTGATAACTGTAATTTAACTAGAGTTCACAAAGATTAAGTCTTACCACTATGCCTGCATTTTTTATTGCCAGTGGAAGCCCTAAAAGGCCAGTTCCAATATTTCCTTTAAGAAGATGCATAAGAGTTTGCACAAATCTGAAAAGTAAAAGGTGTAAGATTTTAGGAAAAAAGCTAATAAAATCACACGGGGACTGAAAATCAATCTCGGCAAGGACTCAAATAACATTTCCACTCAACCAGAAGTTGAATAGGCCAGAGGTCATACTGGTTCACATGCTACTTTTGCCATTTAAAAGGAGAATACAGAGGGTTATTATGGAGATTAAATGAGATTTAACTGAAAGTATTTTTGTACATATTAAAGAAATACAGAAAAGGTAATTTTCTCATAAGATCCCTGGCAGCTATGACATTCAGAATAATGTAGAAGATTATATATGGCTAGGCTGATAAGACAGAGCAATTTATTGACACTATGTAATCATGGCACTAAACACATTTGATCTATGATTATCAACCTAACAGGAAGTTAATTAAAAGAAAAAGCACACAAGTTTTAAAACTATGTGTATCATCAGATAAGATAAATACTAATTTAGACATCATGTACTCCCTAAGGAATTTCATCAAAATTTCCAAGAGGCATTTGAAGGAAGTCACTTGACCAAGAAAAAATAAATTAAACTAGGAAGAATAGCCCAAATTTTAAACTTATGAAACAAACATGCTTGCCTAAATTTTTTTTTAGTTTGTACTATTCTTTTCTGATCAACTAAAATGTAACTTTTGCTTTTTGCTTGAGTAAGAACTTACTCAAATCTATTAATGATGACAAAATAACAAAAGCAGTTCTTTAAGGTTCCACTGCCTTCCCACCACCATGACTTTGATACCATTCACTCAGCATAAAGAAGAAATGTTTACTACCTCCAACCGTCTAACTCCTAACTATTTCAGAAGCCACTGCTCTTAAAAATTCTATTCCTTTCAATAAGATCTCCCTTCTTGCAAGATCCATAGCATGGGACATATATCATCATTGGAATTCCCACACACTGCTCTGTATTTTAGATGCATTTCTTCTTTCCCAAATGGACTATAAATACCTTGACAATATCTTACTCATCTGTGTGTTTTCTGTAGTATCTAGTTAGTGCTTTACCTACAGAAGATTACAAAATATATACCAAATGAAAAGGAGACATATAACTCCGTAACACTTACGAAATACCCTCTTGATCATCAAGCTGGTAATGCTTCTGAACAGGAAGGAGCTCTTGCTCATGCTCTTCATCTGATGTCCCATCAAAATTCTGCTCATTTATTAAGGGCCTCATTACATCCATATCTTCAAAAAGAAAAACAAAGTACTTCACTATGATGTTTAACACTGAGTTAAAGCTGGTATAAATGAATTTTTTAAAAGAAGGACATACCACTTGTACTTATCTTTACTATTTCCACCCTAGGTTAATTCACACTAACACTTTGAGTTTTAGTGTATTTAAAAGACAATTAGACTTATTTGCTGGTTATTTTGTTTGGACAAAGCAGTGCAAAGTGCAAAGCTTTAGTATTCAATGCAAAACTTTTTCTCATTTGTCTATATGAGGTTTTTAGCAAATGATCAGTTATGAGATAAAAAATGTGAATAATCAGAGCGCCTGGGTGGCTCAGTTGCTTAAGCGTCTGCTTTTGGCTGGGGTTATGATCCCAGGGTCCTGGGATCGAGCCCCGCATCGGGCTCCTTGCTCAGCGGGGAGCCTGCTTCTCCCTCTCCCTCCCACTCCCCCTGCTTGTGCTCTCTCTCTGTCAAATAAATCAACAAAATCTTTTTAAAAATGTGAATAATAAAATGAATTTTCACCTCTTTTAGCTTCAATCATACTGTATACATAAATAGTAATCATATTTTTAAATACTTTAAGAAAATTATAGCAGGGGTGGGGGGAGGGGCAGAGGGAAAGGGAGAGAGAGAATCTTAAGCAGGCTCCATGCCCAACGTGGAGCCCAACATGGGGCTCGATCTCATGACACTGAGATCATGACATGAGCTGAAATCAAGAGTCAGATGCTTAACCACCTGAGCCATCCAGGCACCCCCCCCGCAAAATGTATTCTTATATCTAACAATTTTTAGCAAGATGGATGATGACATTAGTCATCACTGTCTGCCTTATTCTAGTAAAATTCACTAAGCTAAAATTTATCGAGATGACTGATATGCATTAGCAAGGTTTGAAGTATAGGATATTTTAAAGAAATGGAAGATTGTTCCATTCAAATACATACAATAAACCTACAAACCATACAATTGGGGTAACCTAAATTGTTAGGAATGACTGACATATAATTTTTTAAAACTTTTATTTTGGAATAATTTTAAATTTATATTAAATTTGCAAGAAGAATACAGAAAAACTCCTATGTATCCTTTACAGACTTACTAATTTTTAACATTTTGCCATGTTTGCCTTTTCTCTCTCAAATGTATATCACTTTTTCTGAACTATGTGAGAGTAGGTTCCATGTATTGTACCACTTTACCCTACAGTTGGCATGTACTCTCTAAGAACAAGAAGTTCTTGAATATTCACATCACAGTCAACAAACTCAGTTTAATATTGATGCAATACGTTAATCTACGTTCCATATTCCAATTTCATCAACTGTACCAACAAAGTTCTCTTAGTAATTGTTTTCAGCACAGGATCATGTATTGGATTTAGTTGAGTTATTCTACTGGTGACCTTGCCATTACGTCTTTTATGATGCCCTTAATCCTCCTTTTTTTCTTCCTTAATCTTTTACTATCTTGTTTGTCAGGTTTGTCAGATATCCTCTGGGGGCACCTGGGTGACTCAGTTGGTTAAGCATCCAACTCTTGATTTAGGCTCAGGGTCATGAGATCGAGCCCCACATTGGGCTCCATGCTCAGTAGGGAGTCTGTTTTGAGATTCTCTCTTTCCCTTGGCCCCTCCCCCTCTCTAAAATAAAATAAATAAATCTTAAAAAAAAATGGTATCCTCTGAATTCCACCTATTACCTATACAAAAATTAATGGTCTTACTCTACTTTTGCTATTTATTTATTTATTTCCCAGAAAAACCACACTGCTCCCCCACCCCCCCAGAAATGTCTTTCTTTTATTCTCTCATTTTTTGTTGTTGTTGTTGTGTTCTTTCTATTTTGGCAATATATATGATGCTTTACAAATTGTTATTCCAATCATGTCTCCACCCATGTCTTAGACTTATATCTACAATTAGTATATTAAATGCTTGCTATCAGTCCTCTGCCAAAGTGTTCTCAGTCTTCCCTTGGCTGGAAGAAGTTCATTCTCTTGTGGACTGTGCATCACAATGACGTGTAGGACTTGATAAAATACAAATTGATGTACTTCACCCCAAGGCCTCTGATTCAGCAGGCCTGGGGTGGGCCTGAGAATATGCATTTTTAACTTCCTGGGTGATTCTGATGTTGCTGCTTTGGGAACCACACTTTGAGAACCACTGCTCTAGTAGATTCTTGAGCATGGGCTCCTGGGCACAGTACTCCCTAAGTTATCTCATGCTTTAAACTGTTTTTCTATAGCCTTCATATGAAGGACAGCTAGATATAACACCTTTGACTCACACTCTCTATTCTTGAGTTTCTTGAAAATACTGTTCCACTCTTGCCCTGCTATATAAGCTACTCTCGAGAAGTCTGATGCCAAACTAATTTTCTCAGCCATTATATACTTTGTCCTTTTTGCTTCAAATCCTGAGGAATTTCTCTTTGACTTTAAGATCTAATGGTTTTACTATGATATGTCTTGGGTTTAAGCATTCTGAGTCAATTTTCCCAGGGACACACTGGGGCTTTTTGATATGTAGATTTACGTTTTCTCTTATTTCTGGAAATTTTTCTTGGATTATAGCTTTGAATATTTGTTTAGTTCAAATATTTTGTTTTTCTTCTTTAGAGATTCCAATTATACGTAAGATCTCCTCTGCCTGTCTTCCATTTCAACCACTTTCTCTTTGACCCTTTTGATGTCTTCCTTTACCTTCTTTGAAACTAAATGAGTCTATTAAATTTTCATTTCAACATGTTCTCCTTTGGACAATTTGTACTTTATTATTTATTTATGATTTTTCCTACTGCTAGGCAGTTCATGGACAGGGATCCTAATTTGAGAGTGGTGCCTCCTGTCGGCATAGTGAAGTTCAGTTTATCTAAGGGATGACATTGACTTACTGGGGTTACAGGGAGTAATTGGTATGTCTCTGGTTCTCTTTCATTTCTGCAGGATATTCAATTCCCTACCCACTCCCCACCCCCTGCCCCTTACTTCCTTCTTTCTCTTCACCTCCAGGTATCAGAGGGACATCTCAACTGCTCCTTTTATCTCCTTCTCCTCCAGAAGCAATGTTTTGCCAAGGCTACTGTGCTTCTACACCTCCTAACCCCCTCTCCTCTTTTCCAGAGTTTCTAAAGACCTTCTTTAGAGAGTCCTTGCAGCAGCAACAGGAACTCTGAAATTTGCCGTTTGTTTTCCTGCTTATAGATAATTTGAGGTTTGTGGTATCTTGGTCTCCTACAAATGCTAAAAGAATAACTTAATGAATGGTTGACTTGTGCTCCTTTTCGAATTCACAGGTTTTGTGGGGAGGACATGTGAAGAGATTAGGATTTAGGTAGCCTCTGTTATCCCTAACTGGAATTCATGACAACAGTTTTTCATAAAAGTAAAGTTATGCTTTAAGATATTGGAAGATGCTTTAGCTTCGTAATATATATTTTTGTAATGCATTTTGAAATCAGGCAGTGTGGTCAGCTTTGTTCTTCTTTTTCAAGATTGTTTTAGGTATTTGGGGTCTTTTGTAATTAAAAGAGTATGATATTGGCATCAAGATAGACATACAGACCAATGAAACAGAATAGAGAGCCCAGAGATCAATCCATGCGTATATGGTCAACTGATCTTTGACAAGGGTGTCAGGAATGCACAACTGGGAAAAAGTCTCTTCAACAAATGGTCCTAGGAAAACTGAAATCCTCATGCACAATAATGAAAGTCTTCATCTCATGCCATACACGAAAATCAACTCAAAACATATTAAAGACTTGAATGCTTGAAAAAGCTTCAGACGTTGGTTTTGGCAATGATTTCATGGATATGACACCAAAAGCACAGGCAACAAAAGCCAAAATGGGCAAGTGGGACTACATTGAACTAAAAAGCTTCTGCACAACAAAAGAAACAATCAACATAGTGAAAAGCCAACCTACAGAATGGGAGAGAATATTTGCAACTCTATATTTGAAAAAGGGTTAATTTCTAAAATATATAAGAAACTCCTACAACCTAAGAGCAAAAAAACCTAGTGAACCAATTAACAAATTGGCTGAAGATTTAAACAGATATTTCTCCAAAGAAGATATACAAATGGTCAACAGGTTTATGGAAAGATGTTCAATGTCACTAATCATCAGGGAAATGCGAAATTAAAACCACAATAAAATATCACTTCACACCTGTTAGGGTAGCCATTATCAAAAAAACAAAAGGCAACAAGTATTGGTGAGGATGTGGCAAGATTGGAACCCTTGTACAGTTAGTGGGAATGCAAAATATTGCAGCTGTGAAGGAAAACAGTATAGAGAGTCCTCAAAAAGTTAAAAACAGAAGTACCATATGACCCAGCAGTCCCACTTCTGAGTATTTACCCAAAAGTATTGAAATCAGGAACTTGAAGAGATGCTAGTACTCCCATGCTCAGTTTAGCGTTATTCATGATAGCCAGCATGTAGAAACAATGTGCACTGACAGATAAATGGATAAAGAAAATAGGATGTATACATGCAGTGGAATATTATCTAGCCTTAAAAAAGAAACTCTGCAATATGCAACAACCTGGATGAAACTTGAAGACATTATGCTAAATGAAATAAGCTAGTCACAGAAGTTCAAATACCATGATTCCACCTATATGAGGAATCTAAAATAGTCAAAGTCATAGAAGCAAAGATTAGTGTGGTGGTTGCCAGTGGTGGGGGGGAGAACAGGGAGTTGCTAATCAACATGTATGAAATTTCAGTTATGCAAGATGAGTAAGTTCCAGAGATCTGACATACAACATTGTGCTTATGGCTGATAATACTGTATTATACACTTAATATCTGTTAAGAGGCTAGATCTCATGATGTGTTCATGCTACAACTTAAAAAACAAGACACTGGAAAAAATGCTTGAATACAGTTTATTCTTAAGTCATTTAAATATTCTTCCTCTAGGGGCACATGGGTGACTCAGTCGGTTAAGTGTCTGACTCTTGATTTGGGCTCAGGTCATGATCTCAGAGTCCTGGGATCAAGCCCCACATCAGGCTCTGCACTCAGCAGCAAGTCTACTTAAGACTCTCTCGCTTCCTTTTCCTCTGCCCCTCCCCCAATCACTACCACATTCTCTCTCTAAAATAAATAAATAAATAAATCTCTTAAAAAATATATTCTTCCTCTAATAATATTACTAATATGTGTAAAGTAAAATCCAATGAATTATCCAAAGTTCCAAATGGCTAGAGTCTAAATTAATGAGGATTTTCTATAATTCAAATTCCCCAACTTTGCCCTTGGGTAGTTTTTCTAACACTTTGATCTGCAGGACATTCTCCACAGACTATTTTGTAGGATTTCCTCATTTCTTTTTCTTCAGTATCAAAAGTGGCTCAGCCTAAACCTGTGCACAGTGAAAATTAAGTGTTTCCCACTATTAGAGAGCTAATACTGGGATATCTACTACATCACATTTATTCTGGTGTCTATTAATATTACAAATTATGTTCATCTTTTGTTTGAACAGATTCTACATCCTTTTCTGTTACACTCTATACAAAGAAAATTGATACTTTATCTTATAAAACTACTGTATTAGTTTGCTAGGGCTGCCATAACAAGGTACGACAAAGTGGGTGGCTTAAACAACAGAAATTTATTATCTAACAGTTCTGGAGGCTAGAAGTCCAAAATGAAGATGTTGGTATGGTTGGTTCCTTCTGAGAGCTAGGAGGGAAGGATCAGTTCCAGGCTTTTCTCCTTGGCTTATAGATGGCTGTCTTCAAGTTCCTAGGGCATTCTCCCCATATGCGTGCCTGTGTCTTTATTTCCCCTTATTATAAGGACACAAGTCATACTGGATTAGTGGCCCACCCGCTCCATTGTGGCCTTATCTTAACTAATTACATCTACAATGATTCTATTGTTAAATAAGGTCACTTAGGGACTGAAGGTTAGGACTTCAATATGAATTTAATCGATAACAATCAACATTTTTTGTTGCATCATCTTTAAACAGAAACGTGTTAATATTTTCATTCCAAAATTTATTCCATTGCCCTTGCTGACTCGAGTTCATTTGCATTTTTATTCATTCAGCTATTCAAATTGTCAGCTATTTGAACTCTCTAATTTCTTTCTGCCAGAGGATGTACAGTATGTTTTCTGCATTACTAAGCACATTATTTAAGTTCTTCATAAAGATAATTATCACTACCAATATATCAAAAACTGAACAATCTGTTATTTGAAGCATACCTCCCAAGAGATCACAGCAGCAATGGGAAGTCTGAAAAAAGTTTTCTCACAACTTAAAATATGAACTCTGAAGGATAAAGTTTACTTTTAATGGCATCCCAAATAATTTATTTTTAATATCTTGTAGTTAAACCTGAATATATAGAAGTGTTAAAATAATCTATAAGTACTAGTTCTACTAGTTCTATAATTCACAGAACCTAGTTTTTATAATAATAGGATTACAAGGTACACTCAAATTCTCAACTAAAAGTTAGCTGGGCTCTCAGTCACTCTTAACACATTTACACTGAGTAGCAACTGTCTTATTTAATTTTAACAGCGTAATGCCTTATGGTTTAAACTTTTCCCCACTTCTTAAATTCATTATTTCTCAATTTCATGTGGTTTAGGAAACATTAAATATGACTTACATGAAAAATAACTTTTCACATATATTTCTTTGGTCTAAATCCATTTGTCTCACCCCTCGCCTTTAAAACCTTAATAAAAATTTAATAATTCCAGGAAACTTCTCAAACTGTAACAATCAGATTAAAGAGTCAATTTTTTAAAGTTGAAACTATTTGAAATAAAAATAATTCTTAACAATGTTAGGAATTTAAGAAGTATACATTTATAAACTGTTTTTGAATCGACCATTATTTTTTTAAAAAGATTTTATTTATTTGAGAGAAAGAGTACAAGCTGGGGAGAGAGCCAGAGGCAGAGGGAGAAGCAGACTCCCCCCTGAGCAGGGAGCCTAATGTGGGACTCAATCACCAGGACCCTGGGATCATGACCTGAGCCGAAGGCAGACGCTTAACCGAATGAGCCACCCAGGTGCCCCTCGAATCGACCATTAAAGCGTTGTGACACATTATTAGCCAAGTTCTAAGTATATGCTTAAATGTATTTTTAAAAACTACATTTAAAAAAAATAACTCTCTAAGACTTTCTCTGCGGTTTGGCCTATATTCTTTAGGTAACATTACATACTAAGAAATATGTATCTGTTAAATGAAGTAAACTAAGAGTAGGTGAAGAAATCAGGTTTTAGGGCTGATTATATTAGCTTGAATGATACAAAATAGTTACTGAATCTAAAGAATACATTAAAAGACACCTAACTACAAATATCGGGAAAGTGATATACTTACATACCCAAGAAGTTGCATCTTTAAATGGTTAAGAGCCCGCTGAAGCCTGGGTTTCTGAGGATGAGATTTATTAATAAATAGAGTCGACCAGTCATTTATAACTTTTAGAAGCTCCAGGTAATACTTAAATATAAAATGAGAAACTGTATTTTTGTTCCAAAGTTTGGCATACAGTATAGCAAAATGCAGTAATATTGTTTTCTTATATTTAACTCTTGAATTCTTTAGGAGAGGTTTTAGCATTGGCATAAGCCACGGGAATGAGTGGGACATTTCAGATTGGAAAATATGCACTTCCTTGATTATCTTTAGAGTTATTTAATGCATATGTATATGGCAAAAGATTAACTGGAAAGCTTGAAAAGATTTTCGGAACAGTGCTAAGGACTCTGGACTTGATCCTATAAGCTGTGAAAAGCCAGAGAAAGAATTCAAGTTGAAATGATCAGATCTGCATTTGGGTAGTATGACCTTGGCAGCGGTGTCAAGGATCAACAGGAAAAACAGCAGCATTAAAGTCAGAGAGACCAATCAGAACACAGCACAGGCAAGAGATTGGTGAGGGCTTGAATTAAGTTAATTTGGTTGAAGAGAAAAGAATGGTTATTGAAAGGAGAGAAACAATAAGATTTGTTGACCAACTAGATGTGGAAGATAAAGGAGTAGAGGATGCTTCCTAGGTGACTGTTATGGAGAAAACTGAATGGATGCTGGTATCCCTGAGAAAGGAAACACGGGGAGACAGTGTGGTGTGGTCCAGAGCCCCTGATCACAAATTTAAAAGCCTGGGTTGAATCTCAGTCCTACCAGTACTAGTCCTGCGAATCTAAGCTAGTCTGGTAACTTTAGCTCTGCCATAGGGAATGATTTCTCTTCCCTTAGTGGCCTTTTCCCTCTTGCTTCTGGCCTTCACATATGTTGTTCCCTCCTGAATCATACTCTATTCTCCCATTCCCTGTTCTTCCCTTCCAATTTTGTATAACTACTTTGTCTAACTATTCCTTCCTCATCTTGCAGGCCTCAGTTTAGACACCACTATTTCTCATTAGCTTCCTTAATCCCAAGTCTGGCTTAAGTCTCTCCCCCTGGGTGTCCCCACAGCACCCTACAAACCTCCTGTAATACCCTGTATTGTAATGGCCCATTCTATTCGTCTGCATTCTCCATGAAGTGACAGCAATGATGTCTGACTTGTCTGCTAGTGTATCCTCAATATTCGGAACATAGTAGATGCTCAACAAATGAAGAAATAAATGCATAAAAGAGAAAGCAGCATGTTAAGGAGGAAATATGAGTTTAATTTTTAAATCATGCAACCTGAAATTATATCCTGAATGAGCAGTTAGAAACAGGGTCTGGAAGTAAGTTGAAAATTTGGGGCTAAATATAAAGATTTGAGAATTATATCAGAATGCAGGTAATAAATAGCTGGGGTCAAAAGGCAGGATGAGGTCACTCAGAGATCATATGGAGGAGAATAGAGCCGAAGACAGAATAATAGAGATCCACTAACATTTTAAATTCCAGTACAAAGTTGGCAAAAGTAACTGAAAAGGAATGATCAAAGCCTCCACTGAGTTTGGTACAACAGACATCTAAAATTGTAAGCAAGAGATTAAAGTTTTCAAATCAGTCTTGTCAAGAACCGCCATCCCTTCCCGGTGAGCAGTTTCTGGCTCAGGTTCAAGGAAGGCAGCCCCACTCACCATGTCCTTCCCTGGGTTATTGCTTACTGTCCTGTCACTGTTACCTCTCTGATCTCATCTCCTATTACTCTTCCCACTGCTCACTCCTCTGAATGGTCACTCCCTGACAGAGAGGTAGAAGCAGGGAGAATTGTGTTCCTCTTCTCTCCTGGAACCACTCCACTGTAGAAAACAGCAAGATGTGGATATGGAAGCAGTCAGTAGGATGTTTTACACTGAATGTTTGTGTCCCCCTAAAATTCATGCGTGAAAACCCTATCCTCCAGTGGGATAGTGTTGGGAGGTAGGGCCCTTGGCATGTAATGGGGGTTAGATAAAGTCCTAAGGTGTCCTTCTAAGAAGAGGACACTTCTTACCATGTGAGGACATAGCAAGAAGATGGCCATTGGTAAACCAGGAAGAGGGCTCTCACCAGGAACTGAATCAGCCGGCATTTGCTCTCGGACGTCCCCCTCCCTCAGAACCATGAGAAAGAAAGGTCTGTGGTTTAAGTCACCCAACTGAAGGTATTTTGTTCTAAAAGCCTGAGCTGAGTAAGACACAGGAGTTGCCTCGCTTGGCACAATAAACTCTGGAGCCTTGCCTTCTGATTTGCTGGAGAAGAGAGCGGTGGCGAGCACCAAGACAGCCTGCACACATGAGCACTGCCGGCAGAGCTCCCTGCCGGGGCCGTGCAGGTGCATGAGCCCACCACAGCCCTCTCAAGAGCCTCTACAAATGGACTGTCATGGCGTCTCCCCAACATCTACTGCCAGGAGCCCGCCATCACAGAAGGTCTGCGCCTTCTGATGGAATGTACTCGTGCAAGAGGTTGCCATCCTTTTCAGTTCAGTTCCACAAATCTTACCACCCAAAATATGTCAGGCACTCTGAGATGCTGGGAATAAAGCAATTCCTACAACTAACAGGAATTCTTGCCCTTGTGGAGCTCAAATTCTAGTAAAGGAAAGAGACAATAAGTAAGTAGAATAGGGAGCATGCTAGTGTTAAATATTCAGAAGGAAAATAGGGTTTGGGAGGGAGAGTCTGTAGTTTTAGTTAGGACAGCCAAATTAGGCCTCATGAAGGAAGAAGGATTTTAAAGAAGACCCGAAGGAGGACAGGGTGGTGAATACTGTGGATATCTGAGGGAAAAGCAATTAGGCTGTGGGAACAAGAAAGGCAAAGGCTCTGAGGACGTAGAGAGCCTGGTGTGTTTAAGTAGGAAGGAGGCCAGAGTAACCAGAGAGGAGAGAACAAAGAGGAGAGTATAGGAAAGAGATCAGAGGTAATAGAGGACAGATAGTACACCGCTTTGTAGACCATTCTGAGTGACAGGAAAGCCACCTACAGCATTGTACAAAAGAAATATAATGTGAGCCACAGACATAACTTTTTCTAATATTTACGTTTTTAAAGAGGGAAAAACAATAGGTAAAATTAATTTAATACACCTTATGTAACTCAATAGATCCAAAATATTATCATTTCAAAATGCAATCAACATAAAAAATTACTAACCAGACATTTTACATTCTATTTTTCATACTAAGTCTTGGAAATCCAGCATGTATTATTACACTTACAGCAGATTTTAATTTGTACAAACCACATTTCAAATGCACATGGAGCTAAAGATGATCCCATTGGACAACACAGCAATAGAGAGTTTTGTGCAGAGGAGTGATATGATCTGATTTGTATTTTAACCAGGGCCTGCCTTCTCATGTGTAAAAATGAGAGTAACTTCTACCTCACAGAGGTTTTATGGTAATGAAATGAGATAACATTCAGGAAGCACAGCGCCTAGTCCTTGGCAGGTAGGTCATCAGTAAATCCTAGTTTTCTTCCCCTTCCTACACAATGATGATTTTTTTAAAGATTTTTAAATTTATTTGAGAGAGAGAGAGAGAGAGCACACAAGCAGTGGGGAGGGGCAGGGGGAGAGGGAGAAGCAGACTCCCTGCTGAGCATGGAGCCCGACTCGGGGCTGGATCCCACAACCCTGAGATCATGGCTGGAGCCGAAGTCAGACGCTTAACTTACTGAACCACCCAAGTGCCTCGAGAGATTTTTTTTTTTTAAGACTTATTTATTTTTACTTGAGAGACAGTGCATGCCCGTGCATGGGGTTGTGAGGGTAAGGGGCAGAGGGAAAGAGAATCTTAAGAAGACTCTGTGCTCAGCACAGAGCCACTGCAGGGCTCAATCTCACGACCCTGAGATCATGACCTGAGCTGAAACTGAGTCAGATGCTTAACCAACTGCGTCACCCAGGCGCCCCCACGATGATATATTAGAAGCAAATTATGCTGCACAGGATTTTAAGTGTAAATCTTTGACAATAAATTAGTTAATTTACCACCAATAATTAGTAATTGTGAGCATTTATGAGCTACAAACTGTGCTATAATACTGAGTGGGCAAAATGTGTTATGCCAGCCAGAAGGAAATAGAGACTAGGGGAAGACACAGACACTTAAAAATCTAACATGGCAGAAGCTTTAACAAAGTTAGGAAGGTTTGGAATAAAATCAGAACACTTGTGCAACATAATTAGAAGTTACAAAATACAATTTACATTACACACAAAGTCTATTATTTGTCAACGTCTTGCTGTAATTTTTAGCCAAGTACTGAACTGGCAGTTCTAAAAAGTGCTATGTGATTACTATAGGTAAGAATTAACAATGTTTTATAAGATAAAACACTATTAAGCAATGGGTATCAAACTACCTAAACACAGTTATTTCTATTTACAAATGGAAAAATTATGTATGAATAAGAAACACTAGCTTCATTCAATATTATACACCATATATGATATACCATACATATACGTTAATGGTGCATAAAACTGGAACATTCTTATATTAGGCAGTACTTGTATGATCTCCTACACTGCCCAGACAATTGTCTCAACCTCAATCTCCCAACCTAAAATCAACCTAAATTTCTAGTTGTAGTTAGAATTAAAGAAAATCACATTAATTTAGCAATATGTCTTGAAATCTTAAAAATGTTTATCCTTTCACCTAGTAATTCCACTTCTGACAAGCCAGTATATAGAAAAAAGGATTTCTGCACAAAGATGTTGATTGAAACATTATTTATGTTGAAAATTTGGCAACAACCTAAATGTGCAACAATCAGGAAATTGCTAAATTAACTACAGGACCTCCACTTTATAAAGTATTACACTGACACTAAATTATAGTTTTGAAGTCCGAGTGAAACAGGGAAAAGTATATCATGCTGAGTGTGAAAAAGCTGGATAATCACAGTATGAATTCAGTGATGTTTTAAAAAGTTAATTTAAAACGGAAGCAAGGAAATATATCAAAAATGGGAATAAGGGGTGCCTGGGTGGCTCAGTCAGTTAGGCACCCAATTCTTGATTTCAGCTCAGATCATGATCTCAGGGTCATGAGAGTGAGCCTGTGTCAGGCTCCACGCTTAGTACCCACTTGACTTGAGGTTCTCTCCCTCTCCCCCTGCCAGCTTTCTCTCATGTTCTCTCTAAAATAAATAAATATTTTTTTTAAAAAAATGGGAATAAGTTGGGGTGCCTGGGTGGCTCAGTTGTTAGGTGTCTGCCTTAGGCTCAGGTCATGATCACAGGGTTCTGGGATGGAGCCCCACATCGGGCTCCCTGCTCAGCGGGAGGCCTGCTTCTCCCTCTCCCACCCCCCCTGCTTGTGTTCCCTCTCTCACTGTGTCTCTCTGTCAAATAAATAAATAAAATCTTTAAAAAAAAAAGGGGGGGGTAAGTTAACAAGGATAGAGATGTGCAATGGGATCATGAGTACTTTTTATTGTCTTTCTCTGGAAAATGCAAAAAAAAAGAAGAAAGTAATAAACTTACTACTTTTATAATAGCAAAATAAAGGAAATCATTTATATTTTGACAGTGGACAAACTAAAACAAAGTAGAAATAATTTCTTTTTTAATACAACATAATGTAGCTATCTAAATCTACAAACTACTATATATGTAAGATGGAAACAGTAACTATCTTATTCATTTCTGAAGTGGTAAAAACATACACAGCAAGAAACCTTCCAGAGGTCCCCACTGCCCATGAAATAAAGTGTAGTTCTTAAGCTACACAAATAGCTATTTGTGTAGCTTAAGGAAACCTGTATCTTAATATCTCTACCAGTGTCTTTTACATAGATATCCAATTTTTTAAAAATCCTTTTTAAATTAAATAATATTTGGTCATGTAGAATATCAGAATATATGTAAATAAGCAATATTTTTGAAATTAAAATTACCTCACCACCCAGAAATAACCACTGGTAACATTTTAGAGTATACACAAATACACTCACCTCCTGTATGTTCTCATTCAGTCCCATGGCTTTAAATACTATTTACATGCTGATGACTTCCAAATTTTTATCTCTAGACCAGACCTCTCACTAACTCTAGAAATAAATCTAATTGCCTACTCAACATCTGTTTGAGTATCCTCACAACATGGCAGCTGGCTTCCCCTAAGAGAGTGATCCAAAAAAGAGAGAGCAAGGCACAATGTCTTTTAGGATCTGGCTTTGAAGTCACACATTATCACTTCCACCATCATCTATCCATTAGAAGCAAGTTATTAAATCCAATCCACATTCCAAGGGAAGAAAATTAAATTATTCCTCTTGAAGAGACAAACATCAAAAAATCTGTAGACATTCTATAAAACCACCCTAACATCCGAGTTGATGGCAATTTCATTCTTCCGGATACTCAGGTCCCTGGAGTCATCTTTGCTTCCTGTTTGACTCTCAACTCTTATCCAGTCCATTAGGAAATCATGCTGGTTCTACATTCAAGTATATCCAGAGTCTAACCATTTCCACTCCCACTGCTACAAGCATACTTCTGTGAGGAAGAGGTACATCTCTTTCTTGCATTTCAGAAATACCCATCTGCTTCTACTTCTGCCCCTTACAGTGTAATCCTTTTAGAATTTAAGTCAGATACCTTGCAGCAGGGGGAGAATGGCTCCCCATTCTCTCAGAATAAAAGCCAAAGTCTTTACATGACCTCCAAGACCCTACATAACCTGGCCTCATCACCACTTTGATCATCCCACTTCAGCCATCTTAGCCTTTTTGCTATTTGTCTTTATTCTAGCTATTCTTCCTGCCTGGAATACCTTTCCCCAGATTTCCACTTGACTTGTCCCTTCATTTCTTCCAAGTCTTTACACAAACCTCACTGCTTCCATATGATCCATCCTGACCATTTTATAAAATACTAGAACTGCCCAACCCCCACCCTGACTTCTGATTTCTCTTACTCTGCCCTTTTTCCCATAGCACTTTTCACTTAACATAATATATAATTAGTCTTTACTGTTTATTGTGTGCTTCCTCTTACTAGAATACAAGCCCCACAAGAATAGGAATTTTGATCTGTATCAGATATATCCCAAGTGCCTAAAACAGTGTCTGGCACATAGGAGAAGCTTGCTGAATATATATTAAATGAACAGACATAACTTTTAAGAAATAATTTGGAAACTTTTCTCAGTTAATAAAAATGTATATGGTAAACATCTTCCCATACTACTTTTAATGGCTATTCAGTACATGACTATATGGCTATATCACAGTTTACCTAAACATTTTCCTTTAACTGGACATTTAGATAGTTACCAGATTTTCTCAACTACAAATAATGTAGTGAACATCTCTTGATGTAAGTGTTACATGACTTACTTCCTTGGGAAATATTTCTAGAAGTAAAATTGCTGGGTAAAAGGATATGTGCATTTTTAAGGACGAATGCATTATACTGCTCTTACCAGCAACCCATGAGAATGCACATTTCTCCACATCCTGAGATGTGTTATTAGTGAATTTAAAACAGTCAGATGAACCTGGGTTCATATCTGGGTTCTGCCATTAATTAACTTAAAATTACTGTAATGGGGATAATAATAGCATCTACCTCACCCAATTGTGTTAAAGATTAAAGGAAACAATGCATATGTAAAGCACTTAGCGTGCTGCTGGACACAGAGTAAACAATCAATAAAATGCTAAGTTTATTTCACCATTATTATGACTTGAAAGAAATTACCTGCAGAGTGCCCTGCCCATTATTACAGGAACGCCAACCTATTAGTTACTATAATGAAATGTTGCTTTAAAGCTCAACTTTTAAAAAATCATTTAATCATTCCGCATCGAATTAAAAATATTCCTAAATATAATGCATATAACTGGGCGGAACAATGACATGATTACCCTGACCCTCGCTTTTGTTCTCCTTTTGACAGCAGGAAACCACAATGTTTTTGCATTCCCAGTCGCCAGGAAGATAAGACCAGATCAGAGGACAGCAGGAAAACAAACTTGGGCAAGTGAGCTAGCTACAGGTATCCGGCGTCCGGTCTGGTCGGCACGTCGCGCTTGTCACTCCGGGGGTGGCACAGGGTAAATGAAGGGTTCACCTGGGACTCGGAATGGGGCTGCGGCGCATGAAAGCCTTCAAGCATCACTAGGGAAAACGGTGAGAATCACAGAGCAGGCTCTCCTTTTGACGTGCATACACAACGCACCCCAACCCCCAACACACGCGCGCGC